CTTGGGGAGGGGGGGGATAGGGAACCCCCTACCTCGCAGGGTGCCGGGGAGAGCCGCGGCTCCCGGCTCCCAGCCGCCCCCGCCGGCTGGGAGGGAGGATGGAGGCCGGGCTCCGCTCCCCGGCCGCTGCGGCCGCGGCTCCCCCGGCCCCGGCGGGGCTGCCCGGGCTGAGGCTCCGGGCACGCAGCGCTCCGCTCCGCCGCTCCCCGGCGAGCCCCGGGGGGGGATGAACGGGGCGCCTCCCGCCAGCCCCGCACACACACACACGCACACACCCGCGGAAAACACACGGGAGCCGCTCTCCCGGCACCGGCTTCACGCTCAGCCTGGCGCACAGGCAGGGAAACGGGGGTTTTCTAAGGCGCGGGCACGCACATCCCGCTGACACACTCACTCACACGCACACCCCGCTCCTGTAACACACACACACACACACGCACACCCCCCCCAACACCTCAACACACCCCCCCGCTCCCGGCACACAAACGCAGCCCGCTCCTCGACACGCACACCACTCCTGTAACCCACACCCCACCGGTACACGCACACATACGCAGAGACACCCCGCCACGGACACAGGCGTGCAAACCTGCCAGACCCCTTCAGCCCGCTCCTCTCGCACACGCACACGCACACACACACACACGCACAGCCCCGCTCCCAGCGCTTGCCCCGGCTCCCAGCCGGCTCCCACCGGCAACTTCTCTCGCTCCCACGCACCAGCGCACCCCGAGCCGCGCTCACACCCCGGGCGCACACACCCAGGGGTGCAAGGGGGACGCACACCCAGAGCCACCTCCGACAGAAAAAAACAAAACAAAACAAAAAAAAACCCCACAGAAAACAACCCACACGCACTCACCCCGACACAGCCGCACACCCACTGCCACCCCACGCCAACCCACGCTGCCCGGATCCGGGCTGGCCCCGCTCCCCGCCGCACAACAAGTGGCAGCGCCGGGCGGCACCGGTAACCGGGAGCCGCCCGCCCAGCCCCGCGCCCCGCTGCCG